TTAAAAACTTGTTAAACATCACCAAAAACGCCACCACCCCTTTAATGTTAATAGTGTCCTGCCGTTTTTATTATTTTAAACTACTGATGCTGATGATTTGCAGCAGTTAAAAAGGATTTATTTTTCAATTTTCTTTTAACAATAGAAAAACGTTTTTAGGTTTTCATTTTTCAAACAACAACATAAAGGACTAGAAAAACATTTAAAAAGCATTTACTATTGTTTACTTCTTCTTATTCGTATTTGTTTGTATTTGCTGACCAATATTTTCCTTTATTAAATAAACGTTAAGTCTGTCTAGTAAATAATAAAAAAGTTTTCTATATTTTTATTTTGAATTTTATATTTACGTTACGTTTATGTTTTATATATTTGTGTGAAAAATGTAAACAAACGTTTTTAAACGTAAACAGCAAACTGCTGCAACAACAATAATATATGGCAAAGAAAACACGCAGCAAGTAAACGGTAGTAGTGTATAAGAGACCTTCACACCCATTTAAAAAAAAAATCATACGGAAAACACGCACTCACACCTATTTACAAAACGTATTTAACACTGTCAACAACACTTAAAAGGAAGAAATAACAAAACAGTGAAAGAGTAGAAGAAAAAAAAACAACGTTCTCCTAACTGTACTCTTATAAATGGGTGCCCATTACACTTTTACTTACTTGTCTGCTTTGTTAAAAGGAATTTGTGTTTTTTTTTGTATTGAAGTGTTTTTCATGTTTTCTTTCCTTTTTGGTTGCTTGATTTTGAAATAATTAATTGTTGGTTTTATTTTGTTATTTATTATATTATTTTTTTAAGGGTTTAATTTTGTAACTGATAGGAATAATAATGTAATTAAGTTTATATTTTTTTATTAATTATTTAGGACTACTATTAACCTAATTTTCTGAACATTAAAGCAAATTAAAGTATGTTTCTGATTTAAGGATAATAGGGAAGCTTTGGCAAAGCTATGAACCGATTGAATGCGGTTTAGACTATAGGACTAACTATAGGCTAGACTATAGATTGTACTATAGACTAGGACTATGGACTGGATTATAAGCTAGACTGTAGACTAGAACTGGCCTGTAATAGAACTATATATGAACTAGAACTGAACAAGAACTGAACTAGAACTGAACTAGAACTGAACTAGAACTGAACTAGAACTGAACTAGAACTGAACTAGAAACTGAACTAGAACTGAACTAGAACTGAACTAGAACTGAACTAGAACTGAACTAGAACTGAACTAGAACTGACTAGAACTGAACTAGAACTGAACTAGAACTGAACTAGAACTGAACTAGAACTGAACTAGAACTGAACTAGAACTGAACTAGAACTGAACTAGAACTGAACTAGAACTGAACTAGAACTGAACTAGAACTGAACTAGAACTGAACTAGAACTGAACTAGAACTGAACTAGAACTGAACTAGAACTGAACTAGAACTGAACTAGAACTGAACTAGAACTGAACTAGAACTGAACTAGAACTGAACTAGAACTGAACTAGAACTGAACTAGAACTGAACTAGAACTGAACTAGAACTGAACTAGAACTGAACTAGAACTGAACTAGAACTGAACTAGAACTGAACTAGAACTGAACTAGAACTGAACTAGAACTGAACTAGAACTGAACTAGAACTGAACTAGAACTGAACTAGAACTGAACTAGAACTGAACTAGAACTGAACTAGAACTGAACTAGAACTGAACTAGAACTGAACTAGAACTGAACTAGAACTGAACTAGAACTGAACTAGAACTGAACTAGAACTGAACTAGAACTGAACTAGAACTGAACTAGAACTGAACTAGAACTGAACTAGAACTGAACTAGAACTGAACTAGAACTGAACTAGAACTGAACTAGAACTGAACTAGAACTGAACTAGAACTGAACTAGAACTGAACTAGAACTGAACTAGAACTGAACTAGAACTGAACTAGAACTGAAGAACTGAACTAGAACTGAACTAGAACTGAACTAGAACTGAATTAGAACTGAATTAGAACTGAACTAGAACTGAATTAGAACTGAACTAGAACTGAACTAGAACTGAACTAGAACTGAACTAGAACTGAACTAGAACTGAACTAGAACTGAACTAGAACTGAACTAGAACTGAACTAGAACTGAACTAGAACTGAACTAGAACTGAACTAGGACTGAACTAGGACTGAACTAGAACTTAACTAGAACTGAACTAGAACTGAACTAGAACTGAACTAGAACTGAACTAGAACTGAACTAGAACTGAACTAGAACTGAACTAGAACTGAACTAGAACTGAACTAGAACTGAACTAGAACTGAACTAGAACTGAACTAAAACTGAACTAGAACTGAACTAGAACTGAACTAGAACTGAACTTAAACTGAACTTAAACTGAACTAGAACTGAACTAGAATTGAACTAGAACTGAACTAGAACTGAACTAGAACTGAACTGAACTAGAACTTAACTAGAACTGAACTAGAACTGAACTAGAA